TAAAACGCACTACCACCCTCTATCGTCTTCATCTTCTCCAAATGCTCCTCATCTCCCCATATCCCTCTATCGTCCCTGCCATTGTTGAGTTGTCCCACATCGGTGGGAGTTGAGGTCCTTGGCCTCCTTATATGGCTTGGGCAATCCTCACCTCATAAGCTAGCTTTTGGGGTTGAGTTAGGCCCAAGGTCCATTCTTATCATGGTATCAGAGCCAGACCCATCCCAATTATTGTTACCGATGTTGGGTCCCCATTTATGTTGTCTACGCTCCAGAGGCCTGGGCGTGAGGGGTGTTGAGTTGTTCCACATCGGTGGGAGTTGAGGTCCTTGGTCTCCTTATATGGCTTGGGCAATCCTCACCTCATAAGCTAGCTTTTGGGGTTAAGTTAGGCCCAAGGTCCATTCTTATCGGCCATCAATTACCCAAAATAAAAAAAACCGCTCTTTCTCACATTGTTAAAACCGTGTGTACGTGGCTGATGTTAAACTATTAACGGGTATTTTCGAGAAAATTGGCACTCGGGTAAGTATGGAATGGTCTCATATTTTCGGTATGCATTGTTAGTTGGTGTATAGTTTCTATGCTTTTTTTTTCTGCAAATGAATAATAAATAAATAAATGTGAAGGGTTAGCTATACTATGATGCGGTATTTTAAAGTACTAAACATAAAGGAGCTTTTGAGTAGAGCTCTGGTAGTTAGAAATGGAATTCACAGAAACATGGTGCAAAATGCCTAATTAGGCTTCTGGCTTGGATGGGTTAAGACCAAAGGAACATTCAAAGTCGTTCAACCTTCAAGAGATTTTCTCTACAGTGTGTTGCAGTAGAATTCTTGGAGATGCCTATTTTATTATAGTTTATATGGCTAATCAATTAGGGATGGTTTAGGTGTAAGGTATGACCCGTGAAGATGGAGCTATTTCATTTATGGTGGATGGTAATTCATAGCTTTGTATTCTTCCGTTTGATGCTTTACAACTTAAAGATATTTCATTTGTTTTCTGATGCTTAGTATTACCTACTCCAAGCTTAAATGGAGCAACATGGTCAGTGAAAATTCATATAGAAGACCCCCACTTGCTTGAGATTGAGGTGTGATATTGTTGTTGTGGTATTTAGGTACTCCCTCCATTCAAAAGGAATGAAGGGGGTTCAAAGAATGAGGGTCAATCCATCTGATTTTCTGTCTCGATTTGGATGTTAGCTTTTTATTTTTTTTTAAAAATAAAATTTACATAATTAAGATCTAGAAAAAAGTACTATAAGCTACACCTTTTTATAATTAAGAATATTCGAAAAATATATGAAAAAGTTTTTTTTTGAAGAAAAAATTGTTTTATTCCCCATATAGTAACAATGTCGTATAAGGTAGAATGGAGGGAGTACTTTTTAGTGCTTGTTCTCAGGATTGATTTCCATAAGCATTATTTTCTTATATGTGAGTTGTGTATGAGGTTATGGAAGATGAGTTTGTCTCCATTATTGAGTTAGAGTTAGCTTTCTCTCCACTATTGAGTTAGAGTTAGCTTATAATGGTTACAATTTTTCTTCCAAGTTCTGAGATGACACCACATTCCTTCCCCCAGTCACATCTCGTTCTCTTTGTGCTACAGACTAGGTATGCTGTGATATACTATAAGAACGTTTAACTTTCTCGAGTCGTGGATTTTTTAAGTCAATTTATAGCCAAGGTTCAGGACATTGATCCAACACACAGTGAGTTGGATTGATGGAAATAAAAAAGTTTGTTATGTTGTGATGCCTCTAATTTCCCTCTTGCTTATCATAGCTGAAAAGATTGAAGTATGTTGTGCTAGTTCGTTTTCTGTCCTTTTTCGGGTAATTCATGCAACCTGCTTTTGATGCAGATTTGGTAAAGGCTGGGGTTTGTGCTGGAGCTTACCAGAAATTGTCTTCTCATTTTTATGCAGAACCATTGAAGTTTGATCAGCTGCCTCTTGGGGAGTTACCTTTGTAGCAATTAAGATTGACCATTTTCTGATAAAAATATCTCCACACAACTGGTGATGAGTACAAACTTATAGTTGCTTCATTTTTTGATATCTTGAATGGCTGCATCTTTGTTGCCAGTGGGTAAGGCAGTCCGTTCCCGCCAACCTTCCAGCTTTTATATCTTCAATGTCAATCTCCAGCAGCCGAAATCAATCCCAAATCTCCTTCCATACAAGAAAAGAGCTAAACAGAACTATAATTTGAACAAGTCAGTGCTCTTAAGCCCATTAGTTTGTCAATACCGGTTGAGACCGGTTTCTGCGCTTGACTCAGATGTTCCAAATCCTATTGATCAGGTCTTTTTCCCCTTTTGTATGCTTCCAATAATGTTTATTGTGATGTGGGCTCGTGTTTTAAAGTAAGCTATGTATTCAGTAGGAGGTAATGAAATCTGGCCTAACAGAGATTTTATATGTAGAGATCAGAAGATTTGAAGAGCAGCGAGAGCTTTAAGCAATGGGATTCATTGACTGCAAAATTTGCCGGAGCTGCAAATATTCCATTTCTCATATTACAACTGCCTCAGATAATACTCAATGCTCGTAACCTTCTAGCAGGAAATAATGCTGCATTATTTGCTGTTCCATGGCTGGTATGGCATTCTAGTCCTATTATAACGGCTTATATCTGTGGTCTTATTAATGTTGAGAGATAAATACTGAGATGAACAAAACACAGGGGATGCTCACTGGATTGCTTGGTAATTTGTCTTTGCTATCATACTTCATAAAGAAGAGGGAGACAGAGGTGGTCGTTGTGCAAATGTTGGGGGTCGTGACCATTTATATTGTGATATCACAACTAGCCATGGCTGGATCTATGCCATTTCCTCATTATGCAGTCACTTCTGTTGTTATTGCATGTGGTCTTGTTGTGAACTTCATGAACTACTTCTACTTGCTCAATCCCGTAATCTGGCGTTACTGGGAGGATTTCATTACTGTTGCTGGGCTATCTGCACTTCCCCAAGTAATCACCCTCTCTTTTCTTTCATTTTCTACTCATCAAAATGAGGAATTTGGAGTTTAGATTCTTATATTTGTTCTGGCATTCTGCACCGTGCAATGTAGGTCATGTGGTCAACTTTCATCCCATATGTTCCAAATACCATCTTGCCTGGTGCTGTAGCTTTTGTTGTGGCTATCCTAGCTGTCATTATGGTAAGCTTTGACATTTGCAGCTCGTTCATGTGGTTGCTTTTACGAGGAGAACGTTTAAATGTTCATACCTGTTATTCTGCCTTGACTTGAAGAAGCTGAAAGAAAAATAACTTTAAGCCACAAAAAGAAATTATGAATTTTTGCTTGACTTGAATAATAGAAAGGCAATGTTGAAATTCCTTCTAACAAGAGGACTGTATTTTCTAGCGAGTGCTAGAAGAACACAGTTCAACATCTTCACTGGGACTGTATGTTCAAATGGTGTCGTTTCTGAACTACTTCGCCAGAAGCAAAGGAGGGTTTTGTCTTCATTCATGACAGAGGGAGAGAGATGAAAGCTTCTCTAGCATTGGGTGGGGTCACTAGCTATTAGCTTATTAATTCTTTTTGTATTCCTGTTCTTCCTTAACGTTAATGAAAAGTTTCACTTTTCTGATATAAACTGGAATGGGCAAGTCCTAAGTGGCAGCTCTCCAACTAGACGATTGAGCACTTGTATCCTGGATATAATGAGTGTGTTTGCATTGTGTCCTTGTCGAACAGGGTATTCTTTTCAAAGGTAAAATAATAGACTAGACGTGAAGCTCGAAATTGTGCAGGGAAGTCACATCTGACTGATGCACCAGGAAGCATGAGAAGCTTCTGTCTTACTATGTTTTTTTTTTTTTTTTGTTATTTTGCTCTATGGTGACCATAACTGCATAACTGGAACATGATCTGAAAGTTCTCTGCTTCTTTTATTTGCGTATGCATACACGTTTGAGAAAGTTGCTACTTAACTATGAGATTACCAAATAATATCACAAAAGCAGTAGTTCACATTGAGCCTTCTTTACTCTGATATTGCTAGATTACAGATGCCAAGTCGATTTTGATTAACAATTACTTTATACTCATTTTCCTTGGGCTCTACAGCAAGCTAGAAAGTTTTGCATGTACTTTTGTGTGGGAAGAGCTATTATGTTAAACCTGAAAGAATGAGAACATGGATCTGAAACTATTCTGAACTTCAAGCTGCTGTTCTTTACAGTCACGGACTGGGAAACTTCCAGAGAAGGGCATCAAATTTGTAGGATCATTGTCTGGATGGACTGCCACTCTTCTTTTCATGTGGATGCCAGTTTCACAAATGGTAGTTTCTACAACGTTTTATATTTTAGGGTAAAATTGTCATATCGTAGTTTTTCACAAGTTTGAGGTTCCTCATCTTGACTGATACCTTCTGACCTTCTGTCCAGTGGACAAACCTTCTAAGTCCAGATAATATCAAAGGTTTATCAGCTCTTTCAATGTTGCTTGCCATGATTGGGAATGGACTCATGATTCCACGTGCACTCTTTACTCGGGATTTGATGTGGTATGTCACCTCATAATGGTTTTCCCTTGTATTGCAAATTCCTTTCCTCCCTTAGCTATCAAATTAGATCTAGAATTCCTCGCATCATCTATTTATTTTTGCTAACCCTCTTACATGCATCAATCTCTGATCTTTCTGAATCCTTTTCTGCATAAGGTTTTCTTCTTTTTCTTTTTCAGATGCGTGTGAACTCTAGTGCATTTTCCCCTTTTCAGTCAAGTGAAAAGGCAGTGGATCAAAAATATGATTTTCTTGTATATTAGAGTAGCCATATTGTTAGAAATTTTATCTCTCTTTCCTCCCCCCCCCCCCCCCCCCCCCCAAAAAAAAGTCTGGCTTCATCGCTGCACAGCAGTATTTTTTCCTGTTTATGGTCATGCTTAATTCAGCAGGATCATTACAGATTAGTCATACTTATCTAAGCCTTAGGAACTAAATGTGCGTACATTTGGAGAGCAATTCATGTTGTTTTTTTCTGCAATTTTGTTTATTAATAATACCTACTGTTAAAAATATATAACAAATACGATGTGTATCTGCTGATGCCTATGCAAAAATATACGACCTGGTCAGCCGTATTAGTCCTGTTATGCACAGGGAGCATTTTTTTTTATGGTGTATAACTTTTCCCTTCTTTCTCTGCTTGGTTAATTACAGGTTCACTGGTTCAACTTGGGCATGTGTTTTTTATGGATGGGGAAACCTCGTCTGCTTATACCTGTAAGTTGCTGCAAAGCTCCTCATTGTTTCCAAGTTTTATTAAAAAATCAACCATTTTTCAACCCGCTAAATCCCTTTTGTTCTGCATTCAGCTGCAAAGTTATAAGCAGGGAATTTTTCTTGGCTTCAACGGTTAGCTTTGTAGCATGGCTAGGTAAATCCTCACTCTCATTTGTTTTCTTTTAACTTGAATTTTCTGGTTCTCTTTTAAATACTGTTTTGGCAACTTCATTCCTTGTTTTTCGATGGCTCGGCCTCAGCCCTCCGGGCCTCATGATGGCTTTTTTCCTTTCCCCTTTCCCACTCGTGTTAAACTTTTGCATTTGGCTGATGAAATATGACTCCTCTTTTTTCTTTTTTTGACTGAAAACAGTATTCAGCTTCTGGAGAGACACACAAGTATATGGTTACAGTTCTCCATTGAAATCATTGAAGGAATTGATTTCTGGTTCATAACTGATCCTTGCCCTACCTTGTTGGTTTTGGCTGTAAGTTTGAAATGCAAAATTGCTCAAGCTTGGCATTTCTGCTAAATCAAGTGGTCATAATTGACAAGAAATCACTCCATGTTAATCCTCTTCTTTAGAAATTTTGGTGAAAGTGCTTCTGGCAAATGTTTTGGGGCATCAGGCAAGGGCTAGATCTTGTAATGTCTAATTGTTCTGCATATGGTAGTGAGGAAGGTTCTTGTGGGTTTTTACATGTAATGTCAACTAATAATAAAGCTACGAATGCAAGGTAGAGCAAGTATATTTGTTGTATTTCATTTATAGACCATCTTAATGAATGCCATGCAATTTTTGCAGAAATTGGGCGTTTAAGTCTATCCCAAAAATGGTAGTTTCCACAGTTATTACCAAACAAAAAAGGTCTATCCAATAATTATATGGACATAATCAGATTATATGTTTGTGTACATTGGATTATTAGTTAACATATGATGTCGGACAATAAAATGAAGATACAACAGCAACGACCCACCAATATCCCACAAGTGGCGTTTGGAGAGGGTAGTGTGTGAGCAGACCTTACCCCTCGACTCAAGAAGACGGAAAAAAAAACAAGAAGAGACAATAGATTGAAGATAGAATTTTGAAAATGTGAATTATACATAATTGTTTCTGTTTTTATAAGGTATACTTTGATGCTGTATTTGTAATATAAGAATTTCATATTCATGCACTTAGGTAATACTTGGTAATTGTACTAGTGTGATTCGCTTGATGCAAGTAAACGGTATTGAGCGCCAATCATTTGGGGTGTGCATGGGCAGGGTTGGTTTGGGTTTACAATTACCAAATCAAATCAGTTGTGTCGGGTTATTAAATCTAAAGACCAAACAAAACTAACAAAAATTGGGTTTTTTAATCTCGGGTTTTTTTCGATTTTTTCTCCGGTAAAGTCTTCACAGCATAAAACATAGAATTTGTGCACCAAATATTTTTTAAGTCCTAATAAGGCACAACTACATAAGGTGTTTCCAGAGAATATCGTAAAATATGAGATGAGTCATGACATTGTATTAAAGTATTCAACAATAAAGATAATAAAGCCGCATAAAACAGATATTGCTAATGAATAAGCCGTAATAAAAATGAATATAATCTAAAAGTACTAAGTCATGCTAAAATTAGCACAACTAATAAGTACTATTAATTACATGACTAAACACTAAAGAAAAAATAAAAATAAGTTATGCATTTTATTAAATCATGAAAAAACTAAAATATATATATCCAACACTATTATCCTTCCTAGTATTGAATTGAATGTCTTTTGTTAGCATTGGTATTGATTTAGTTTTGGTTTGGGCTTTATTTGAGTTACTACTCTCTTTGTTCCAATTTATATGAACCTGTTTGACTGGGCACGGAGTTTAAAAAAATGAAGACTCTTAGAATTTGTGGTCCTAGACAAGTTAAAAAGGGGCATATTGTCTTTGTGTGGTCATAAAATGTCACGACCCAAAATCCATCAAGGTCGTGATGTCGCCTAACACCGCTGTAAGGCAAGCCAACAATAAATGATTAATTTAATTACTCGTTGTAGTATTTTTGAAATCATAATTTTTTTTCAATTAAATAGTAAGAGGTAGAATTTACAGAGTAATGATAATATTTTCCCAACTACAATACTAACAACCCATAATCACTCCCAAAATTTACAACTGCATGAGCATCGACTAAAAAGATAGTAAAATACAACATGTGTCTGGAATACAATTAGACAGGAGAGTGTAATTGACTTTGATGGAGACTCTGTGTGCTGCGGGCTCGTAACATGGAATGCATCTAACCTAAGTCCCCGCAATAACCGCGCCTCTGGGCACACAGGACCACTAGACATAGATGTACCTGCACAGAATGTGCAGCAAGTATAGTATGAGTACGTAAATCAACGCGTACCTAGTAAGTATTTAGTCTAACCTCGAAGAACTAGTGACGGGGGGTCGACTCCGACACTTACTATGGTCTAACCATAAAATATCGATATTGTAATTAAGCATGGGTTATGTAGAAACGGCTGAAAATTCAAGAACAAGAAAATAAATAAATAATTCTTTTACTAATAGGAATTTCCAAATTTATTTTCTAATTTAAATTACAAACAGATGAAGCAATATCAATTATTATTAGTTCCAAAGATTTATCATGCGCAATTCATGCCGAGGTCGTACGACCCGATCCAACATAAATATTTAAATTATGCACTGCCGAGGGCCGAACGGCACGAACCATAAATGCATCTATCTGCTACCGAGGCATTCGGCCCGCTCCACAAAAAGAGAAAATACATTAAAACAACCAATTCAAGATTTATTAAGGACAATTATCCAAAGAAATACTAATTCTCATTAACAGTCAAGTAAAATGAAGTTTAACCTTTTACAATTTTTTTATCAAGTTTCGATATGATTTAAAGCAATTAAATTGACAAGTAGGGTGCAAACATCGCAAGTATAGCATGATATGGGTCCTTGACTACCCGGACATAAGCATATTTAGTAGCTACGTACGGACTCTCGTCACCTCGTGCGTACGTAGCCCCCACAAATAGAAGCACATATTAAATCAATTCACCCATGGGGTTAATTCCCTCTTACAAGGTTAGAAAAGAGACTTACCTCGCTTCGAAGTTCCACTGACGCCACTCTAACACCTTAAACCAAAGCTTGACAGTCCAAAACTACGCAACCAATGTGCAAACCAATCAAAACGTGTAATACCCCATAATTAATCAATTTAAACAATTTCCAACTCTACTCGAAAAGTCGATAAAATCAACCCTCGGGCCCACGTGCACGGATTTCGTTTTTTTTAAAGATAAACATTGCCCATAACCTCATGAACTCAAATATATAATTTATTCTCAATTCCATTCCCAATCGTGGTCAAAATTAAAAAATACCATTTTTCTAGGTTTTCTACCAAAACCCTGATTTCCACAAATTTTCCATGAATTTCCATGTTAAAATCCATATATAATCCAAGTATTTTACTTGCAATAGGTGGGAATCACTTACCTTGACATGATGATGAAGATGGAGCTCCAAAATCGCTCCTAGGACGACTCCCATGGTGGGAATGAGATGAAATGAGCCAAACCCGTTTTTGCAAACTTATACACTGTCTAGGCGACCCTTCTTCGCTATCGCGGGAATACCTTCGCGATCGGGAAGGCTAAAATGCTGTCTCCCAGAATTTTCTCTACGCGTTCGCGATCAAAGGGCCGCGTTCGTGAAACCTTCAGTCCCCACTGCTACGCGTTCGCAGGGTAAGCCTCGCGTTTGCGTAGGCTAAATGGCTCCATGTCCCCCAGCCCCCATCCTTCTACGCGTTTGCGACTCCCTGTTGCGTTCGTGAATGGTAACCCAGCGCCTTCTCCGCGTTCGTGACCTCCTCGGTGCATTCGCAATGAACATTTCCCTCTCCATCCAGTTCCTCTTCACGATCGTGTCCCATCAACCGCGATTGCGATACTTACCAGATACACCAGAAACCAGCAGCAACAAATCATGGAGAAATGACCCGAAACCATCCCGAAACACACCTGACCCCCGGGACCCTGTCCAATCACACAAACCAGCTCCAATAAATAACACGGACCTGCTCGAGGCCTCAAATCACATTAAACAGCGTCGAAATCAAGAATCACACCCTAATTCAAGCTTAATGAACTTTAGAACTTCAAACTTCTACATTCGATGCCAAAACCTATCATATCACGTTCGATTGACCTCAAATTTTGCACACAAGTCACATTTGACATTACGGACCTACTCCAACTTCTGGAATCAGAATCTGACCCCGATATCAAAAAGTCCACTCCCGGTCAAACTTCTCAAAAACCTTCAAATTTTCAACTTTCGCCAAATGACTCCGAAATGACCTACGGACCTCCAAATCCACATCTAGACGCGCTCCCAATACCAGAATCACCATACGGAGATATTACTAGACTCGAAATCCCAAACAAACATTGATAACATTAAAATGCACTTCAACCCAAATTTATCAAATCTTCCAAAATGCCAACTTCCCTCAATAGGCGCCGAAACGCTCCCGGGTCATCCAAAACCCGATCCGGACATACGCCCAAGTCCAAAATAATCATACGAACATGTTGGAACCTTCAAATCCCAATTCCGAGGTCGTTTACTTAAAAGTCAAACCTTAGTCAATTCTTCCAACTTAAAGCTTCCGAAATGAGAATTTTCTTTCCAAATCAACTCCGAACTTCCCAAAATTCAATTCCAACCACGCGTACAAGTCATAATAACTGAAGCGAAGCTACTCAAAGCCTCAAACCTCTGAATGACATGCTAGAGATCAAAACGACTGGTCGGGTCGTTACATTCTGTCCCACTTAAACATACGTACGTCCTCGAACGTGCTAAGAACTGCTCCGGAGTTGTCCGAAATCACTGTTTAACATCTCGCGCACCTAACTGTTCTACCACAACCCCGTTGAGCATATTAGCTTGAGCCAGTCTAAAAATCCTCCCTCTTATTTAGTCAAATAAGCTTTAGAGCTATATTCCAACATCCGAAATTTTCTACCAGGTCTGCTTTCAACATACGAACACCGTATCAGTCACTACACACTACAAAACATAGTTGTATACCTGTTCTGAATTCACACCATGCACCGCATAATTCACATGACCATAATAACATCCCCTGATAACAATAGCCGAACTTCCACGAATCCGATGCCCACAGCACACCTCATGACACATAGTCCTGTTCCGACCCCTGCAGTGCTACAACGACGCAAGATAGGTGTAGAAATTCATAACCAACTCCGGAGTCAACAAATCATTAAGTCTCTCCTCCTGACAAGGACCATTACCTCATTATGAACCAAATTACGATATTAGCTCCTTAATATGCTTCATATAAATCCGATCGCAGTGATCCAAGGTCCCATAATCTCGTCTCACCCAGTACAAGTTGTTCCAGCAATAAGCCACCACAAACACTATCTAAGATCTCATATGATGCCATCAATGTGCCAACAAGCCACAACTTGAATATGGCACATAAGGAAGAACGAGCTTTGGAAAAGAACTATCCAGCCCGCGTAGCGACTAAATATGGCCATCGAATACTATGAGCCTTTCTCAGAGGCAAGAAATAGGACAAACAAAACAAATATAAGAAACCGTGCTCAATATTTTGCTGTTGCGGCGTGCAACCCGATCCACACACGATACCGTTGCGGCGTGTAACCCGATCCAAACAACATACCCGTGACGGTGTGCCACCCGATCCAACCATATACCCGTGGCGACGTGCCACACGATCCA